AACTATCGACTGCTTGCGAATAGTTTTTATTTTTTATACACAATACCACACATAAGGCTTATTTCAGTTCGTGGTATAGTTTTCAGCTACATCCTGACGGTGGACCGATTCTCTTGGTACATATTTTTAAGAAGTCTACACTTTCATAAGTCGACCATGTTGTGATTCGAACCTGAATCTCATGGTGATAGATTTAACAGTCTAACGCGTCGGTCAGGCGCCATTTTAGTTACATAACGAAAAAGAAACACTATTTATGATTATTATAGATGATGAATTTTATTTGGAAAAGTTCCATTTATGTTGAACCCAAAAAGACAGTTAATTGGCCATGTCTCCTCTCCATCCAAAATGTTGATGGCACCAAGCCATGCATAATAAGTCCGGATCAAATAAGATTAGGGTTTGTGTATTCAGTCGAAGACAAATAATGTTTGCAGCCAAAGAAATGAAACACCAGGCGTCCTAATTCGTTCAAAGAACATAAAAGTATCTGGTAAAATTGAAACAAGGAAAACAAACTATTACGAAAAAGATTGATCTGAATGTACAAATCCGATTCATCTATTTGATCCGTCACTTTTTATTGGCGGAATTGCTGCAATATAATTGTCAAAACAATTCGCGGTTTTCGAAAAGCAAAAATGTCGTACTATTTCAATCGCAGAAGATGATAATAAAAATTATTAGTATTTTATTAAGAACAAAAAATCATTGAATTGATTCAGTGATAAAACGTATTTATAGGATTAGAATACTTATATAATGCTTAATAACTTACTGGGATTGAATACATTTGATAGTCACTTTAATTGAATATAAGATAATATTCAAATACTTGTCATTAGATTTATTCAATCGCATTATGTGACATTTTCTGACGCTATATTTCACCATGTTTTAAAGCAACTTCATGATTCCATGCTCTCAAAACTTTCAGGATGATGAACTGGGGTATTTTTTTTTTCCAGGCTTCTAGTGAATTAAAACTTTTTCCTTTCAAAAAATATTATTGATTGATTGATTTGTATTCTATGGTTTATCAACCATTTGCAGGTTATTTAAAATCAGAAAAGAATCTTAGATTTCAAGAAATTCTTTTGGGCATAATAACGATTTTGAGATACAAGTTTTACTAATTAACCCATGGCTGGGAGAGATGAGGTGGGTTCATACCTTTCCCAAAGGGTATTTGTGTGTAAGAAAATTTAATGAACCCAACAGGTATTGGAACTCGACTTTCCAATTAACAATTCAGAGCCATTATCAAGAAAAAAAAACAATTTTTGTTTTGTTTTCTTTTTTTTTTTTCAAGTATGTAGTAGGCAGTGAAAATGGAAATCATGTCTGTAGTAATAATTTGCTAGGTTAGTTGTCTGACCATTGTTCAAACGTATAATCTCTTTCATATTTACTAAGCTTCACAAGACCACAACTTAAAGGCCACCTGCCGACAAATGTGCTTGCTACACAGTCATCAATTTGCATAAATAGCTGGCCAAATTGTATTCTAAGTTAGATGTCCAATTTTCGAATTAATCGAACAGATATCCCGTTCAATGATTTATTGCCAAAGGGCAAGAGCTACAGGACTGGTTTCCAAGCAAATCAGCTTCTTCACTGCAGACATTTTCTGCATGTAAATCATTTTATTCGAGCAATAAAATAAATAAAAGTACAAGAAATCAAATTGTAACTAATATGAAAACAAAAGTGAATTTATATCTGCCCCGCAATATTGCGTTTTATCACATTCAATCCAAGATTTACTAGTTTTCCTAAAGAGACGTCAGAGAAACGAGACGAAAAAATATTTCACCTACATTACTGAACTGACGAGGAAAAAGATGTCCTATCTATGTTATTTTCGTCATGAAATAGTTTGAGTGAATATAAGCTTCTTAAAATCAAATAAATACGAAATAAAATTTTAAAAAATAACTTAAAACCTATTCTCTACAATAATATTAATATTCATATACTTCTGAGAATTAAACCCATAAAAATGAGCAGGCTTATTAAGAATGAATCAGATATTTTGCCTCAAATCAGATGTCTGAGTAAAGCTGCTTCGAAGAGTGTTGCGTCTTAGTACTCATAATTACGATCAAAGATAAATGTGTTCTCTCGAAAGTAATAGTTGCAGCATATATACATACATACAGGTGCGCGCAAACACACGTATACACACACACACACGCACATATAGAAAGATCTGGCCCCCTAAACGTGTTGTAATTGTTACTAAGCTTGTCTCGGTAGAACAATTACAACTGAGTAGTGAGTTCGATCCTCACCGGGTGTCCGATACTTTCTGCTTTTATTTACATTAAAACTACGCTTAAAAATTACTATATATATATATATATATATATATATATATATATATATATATATATATATATATGGTGCGGTTGATAAATTGTCTAAATTACGCAAAAAATTAAAATAACACTGACATTGTAACAGATATATTTACAAAAAATTCAAAAAATACTTTAAAATACTAACGAGTAAATTTATTAAATAAAATCAACATTAGCTAGAACCATGGCCTTTAGTCGACTTCAGAATCGTCTGCAACTCGGCTTGATGTTTTCCTTGCACTCGACAAAATCAAAAACACAAAAACGCTCATGTGCGAAATTAAAAATATCAAATAGCAACACTTTACCCCTCGCACCCTCTATACGGTTTAATTGTTCATGTTTTAGCTTAAATCAGCTGAAAATAATTTGTTTCAATTATAAAATCTCAACGTTCCAGATATTTTCTGTTCTCTTGGAAAACATTTGTTTACTGCTTATAATACTTAT